GACAAAGTGAAACTCTAGTTATGTTTTATGACTCAATTTAGAGTAAGTCCTTGTGTAAAGTAACCAAAGTAATACTTCAATAGAGCTTTGTCAGGTACTTTTGAAGATACCTATTGAAGATTTTTTAGCAGACTCTTTTTCTTTGCGGTCCAGGGTATTTGCACAGTAACAGTACAGTAACATAATTTGTTTTTAGACTAAGATTCTGCCCTAAATTAGAGTACCTAGGTCATTAAATCCATTAATTAATTTACTACCAGTACAAAAATACAACCATTTTCATCTCAATCCGTGATTGAAAGTGGAAGGACATCGATTGTACGCCGTGTATTGGATTTGTCTCTAGGCTGACTGATGGTCGACCCGAGTGATTGCATTTGTTTCTTTTATTTCTATCGGGAGGTAGGTTTTCTACTCGTCAATCTAAACCTATAACATCTTAAAATAGGCGGTATTTTACTACAGAAATGTATGGTATGAAGATAAGCAGACTGAACAGAATATGTGATGAAATGGAATGAATCTTGCTAACAAAGACCGATCAATGCAATAAGTAAAATAATTTGAATTTGAATGTGAACGTTGACACCGAGCTGTCTTTTGCTTCAAGTTTCAAGTAGGTAACATTTGGCCTATAGTCAATATGCCAACATTTTTGTTGGCTAAGTTAAATACGGTCGTTGTGGAAATTCATGTTTGGGACGCCTTTGTCCAGCAGACTAGACGGCATTAGGTTGAAACGAACGAACCGTATTACCAACTTATAATTAAATGGTACGACAAGATGGACTGACGACCTCATAAAGGTAGCAGGAAGGCGCTGGATACAAACCGCCACCAACCAGGCGATGTAGAAATCATTGTGAGAGGTCAATGTTCGTCAGTGGATATCCTGTGGCTGAAATGATATGAAAAACTCTAATGTACCATTTTTCATAAGCTTTGGATAGTGAGTATTCGCTAGAATAACAAAGCCTATGTACACATCTGGAGCATTTCATTTCGATCTTTTTTCCGTCACCCCTTTTAACCCTTCCTTCGGCTCTGGGTCATATTTGATATTCTTTTCGAAATGACGTTATAATACAGTGTGAGTCACGTTAAAGTGTACATATGAAAATAGATGAAACTAGACCTATTTTTATCGACAAAAAAGAGGTCAAAAAATTTTTGAGATTTTTTTTTATTTTTTTATAGAATTTTTTTTCTTCCAATTACTTATTGTAAAGAAAACGTAATAACTTTTAAACTAAGCGGTATATCCTGATAAAATAAAAACAGTAATAATGCTAAATAACAGGGCGATACTAAAAAAATACATACAATTCACAAAAATGCCAACAAATAATAAAAAATGATACTTTTTGAAAAAAATCTGCTTAAAAATTCGTGTTTTTTTATCCCTATCACAACATTTGCTATGATCGTTTGAACTAAGCCTCTCCGGGCGCGCCATTCAACGCTTCGTTAACAACGAAAGTGAAAATGGCTCTAGATTTGTAATTTTGATAAAGACAAGTTAGATTTCAAGTAAAAAGAAAAAATTTCGAAGAAAAATAAGCATTTTAGTTAAATTTAAAATTGTCCCTACCTGTAGAGGAGAATAATGTTGTGGTAGGCCTTTGTTCAAACTATCATAGCAAATGTTGTGATAGGGATAGAGACATGCAATTTTTGGTTTTACAAAGGTAATACGATAGAGAATAATACACAACAATAAAAACTACCTGTTATACGGGCATTTTTTGGAGAAATTTATCAAATAACCAAAAAAACACGAATTTTTAAGCAGATTTTTTTCAAAAAGTATCATTTTTTATTACTTGTTGGCATTTTTTGTGTATTGTATGTATTTTTTAGTATTGCCTGTTATTTAGCATTATTACTGTTTTTATTTTATCAGGATATACTGCTTAGTTTAAAAGTTATTACGTTTTCTTTACAATAAGTAATTGGAAGAGAAAAAATTCTATAAAAAATTAAAAAAAAATCTCAAAAAAATTTTGACCTCTTTTTTGTCGATAAAAATAGGTCTAGTTTCATCTATTTTCATATGTACACTTTAACGTGACTCACACTGTATAACAAGCCTTCTGAAATCTTTTATGAATATCGGTTTGGCCGAGCGTGTTTATCATAATAATGGAAGGTCACATTAACTTCGGGCCGTTGGTTCGGGCCCCTCGACTGTAATGAATGGATTGTTTTTGGTGTTCCACTGTTTTTTGAGACGGTTTTTTGGCTAATGAGTTACAATAATGTTTTTTTAATAATATGGGCACATTTTTTTATCATATTTTTGCTAAAAGTTGGAAGTAAAATGAAAAAAGTACTTATCAAGAACGAAAAAGAATGCGACAAGACTTTTTTTGCTATTAGGGATATTTCAAAAACATTTTTTACATTTAAAAAGTAAAATAAATAATAATTTACCGCTGGTTACTTATATCAAACATTTTCTTATTTTTTAAACCCTACAAAAAACTACCCCAACGTTTTTAGTCATACCTGATAGCGGTGTTTACCGTTCCCTATCAACACTAAAAAGAGACCACAGGAGGGTCGCCATTTTTTTCTCAAAATTACTTCCGAATAGGTGCGAAGATTGGCGTATTGTGGACGAGAATTTTCTACGAGTTGATGGATTAGGTACGATCATAATGCACCTACCGACATTTTGAGAGACTTCATAGTGAAAGGAAATTCTGGGTAAAAAGCCTTTTTGTGAGGGGTTGATTGTTGTTTTTATTTGTCTATTTTACATGCCTTGAAATTTTCCTCAAAACGCGAAATTGGACGAAACTTTGTGAAAATGGGGCAGGGGTTGCAATGACACCAAAACAACCTTATCACTGTTATGAACCTAGGCTGCTAAGTACTCTGAATGTTTTATTCCCAGAAAACGAAATGCTGTAAAAAATGCAAGTCTTGTAACAAGAAAAAGTAATTCAAAACTTACCTTGCACCCACACACACCTTTGTTGTTCTGGAACAAGCACTTCAAACACAAATGCACAGTTCTTTTTCTTTTATTGTAACAAGGAAGGCACAGTTTATTATTTCTGTTAATATGAGATACTTATCAATGTCTAAATAAAACATCAATCTGACAGCGACAAGTTTATATTCAATATTGCAATCAAAGTGATCACAAACACAGAAAATTATTTTATATTATGTTCCACTCACGAACCGAGAACACAACTGAACTACTACTACTAGTATAATACACAAATTCATAATGTAGAAACAGGATTTTCATTTTATTTCACTACAAAGTTCGTGCACACCTGCACACCCGGTCGCGTCTCACGATTGACTGAGTAATGTTGTGGGTAGATTTGCTTTCCTATGTCAAATCATTGTAGTTACGTAATTGTCAAATCAGAAAGTAACTACCTACATTTTGACAAGTTGTTTATGAATATTAAGCAAATCTTTTTTTATTCTAATCTTTTATTTTATACTCGTATTTTTAGATTAAGGCCAAAATTTCTACTATATTTAGCTGAGTGTAAGTTTACATTAAACGTGCTCACTAATGAGCGCATTTAAAAATTGTATAAAAATTTTAGTTTTTGACAGTTTCCCGCTAGGGGCGCTGTACAATCCGTCATACATTTAATGTCACTTTTTGACGCGCTCACTAGTCTAGTGAGCACGTTTGAAAAAAACTGACACTCAGCCCTCTGGAAAAGAAATAAACTTTTTTCATCTCACATTTAAATCTAAATTTAGAACTCAATTAAAAAGAAACGGTTGCAAAAACACGCAGTTTAATCTTAATAATGGCTGGTAGCCCTAATTTCCAGCTTTTCACTCCAGAGTCAGGGTTGACATAATTTACTTGGCCCATTAATTCCAGGGTTGACTCCGTCGCGTTTTTCAGACAGGTTGAGAGGTCTTTAGCTCTTATTAAATTACCCCAATTTTAGAGCGTTAACTTTAAAGTGGGGAATTGTTCGGTAATTGTTTACAAGCTTTTTGTTAGTTTAGGGCTTAACTTTGAATTATATTTGAGTTACTACNTATTTGAAATACATTGCCTCAATTTGACGCTGATTGAGACACTTTCTTTTAAAAATAGATTGCTGAATGTTTTATTCCATAATATATGATTACCATATTTTATTTACTGAATTGTGACTAAAAATATAAACATAAAAAAATTAGCATGTCAATCACTGAGAGCAAAAATCTGTATAACGAATTAGAAGTCTTAGGCTGAGTTGCACCATCTTCTTTAACTTTGATAAACGTCAAAAATCTGTCAAACTCCATACAAAAAGCACCGGTTATTGTGATTGTTACGCTTAAAATAAGATAGTGCAACTCAGCCTTACAGTGTTACAAAATAATAATGCACGTTTGTAAAATATAAATAGAGTAGTATTTTTTATGAAAATGGAATTATAACATTAACAGTGCCTAAAATGCATAAATCATCTTCGACCAATCTTCACAAATATTGGTGGCTAAAATGCATAATAACTTTGACCCATCAGAATTGATTTAGCAGCTCCACAAATTACCTTCCCAAAACAATGTTTACCTAACTTGCTTACTATATTGTAATTCATGTGTTGCACAATACATCAACCAAACTTCGACTATCGACATCAAACTCACAATACATGGGCCCATCGATACATGAAACATTATCTCCCATCAAACTTAAAGGCCCATACACTGTTACGCCATGTTGGTATCATGATCGGAACTTTTCATTGATAGTTTGACGTGTGTTGGCAACCCTGCGGACATATGCAGTGATTCAGGGCTGGCACTATGCGATTAATAAAACATAATTCATTTTTCTTGATCATAATATTTCTACAATGTCTTATGATGTTGAAACGTTACCTGCTTTTGTTTAAATATTTTTCATACATTTATCAAGAAAATAAATATTGGATATTTTTGATTTTGGAAAGTCAAATCAAAGTCATTTGTTTTAATGAAATTTAATGAGGGAGGGGTGTGAAATAAATAAACACCAATGGACAAAACAATTTTATTCAAAAAGTGAAGCTCACAGTATAACATAAAAAATGTAATGCAAATTGCAATGTAAATAAATTGATTTCAACGCTCTTATTTACATAAAGTTAAATCAAACATAATTAATAAAGAGTAATTATGTATCTAATACAGATCTTTCATCGCGATTCGTTGATGTCCATCTGGAAAATAAAATTAAAATATTAATAAAATAGGATAGGCACTACGTAACATTATTATAAACTGTTGTACGAGTATATCCTTGTTAAAGTGGTTTAGTCATCAAAATGACAACTTCTCAAAATGACAACCGGGATGCAAAATGTCCACTTCTCGAAATTACAACTTCTTAAAATCTTAAAATGTCAACTTCGCTAAAATACAACTTCTCATAATTATATTGTCTATTTCGGATATTTCGATTATTTGTGGACATTCTGCGTCCCGGTTGTTATTTTGAGCAGTTGTCATTTTCATGACTAAGCCGTTAAAATTAGTATCCGTGTTACTATAACTACTGATTTAAGATCTCTTCAACCTTGGTACCTAAAGCTGCATTTGGTAACTAATGTTCAGTTACGCTCTGTTATTTCTTTTTAAGTCGAAGTTACGTAACAATCTCTATAAGCCGATCTGAAGTTTTCAAAGTTAAAGTTGGACCCCACTGGGAATCGAACCCTCGACCAATACATGTCGTCCAAAAAATATTTTAACAAAAAATCCGGTAGTAGAAACTTCTATATTTTCCAATTTTAGAGAACTCTTTACGTGCATCTGATTTGCTCACTCACTTTCATCCTCACCTTAGAACACTTGCTTTAGAGTAGGCGCACACCGTTGATTTTTCGTCGGCCGATAGTTTAGTCGGGCAGTTGATCAGTATGGGCATGTATGGGAGTGCGCACACTACGCCGATTCGATTTGGCCGATTCTTCATACAATTTAAAATCGGGCACAACTATCGGCCAACTAAAAATCAACGGTGTGCGCCTACTCTTAGTTGTCTTATTGCAATTTTTTTTCATCTCACCTTTAGAACACCTGCACCCTATGGTTCTCTCTATCGCACACTATGATGTTGCCTCCAGACATGACGGCGATGCCCTCCAGACCCTTGAACTCCCCATCACTGGAGCCCCAAGAACCAAAGGCTCTCAGGAACGTGCCATCAGGGTGGAAGATCTGGATGCGGTTGTTGCCAGAATCAGCCACCACGATGTAGCCTTGGTCGTCGACGGCTACACCCCTGTAGAAGACATTACTTGGTAAGACTTACAATTCACTAAATTCAAAATTGAAACAAAAAAATACTTAAGTAAGATGCTTGGCAGGTATCTGGATGAAAAATGCCTAAACTTCCAGGTCTTTTAGCACTTTTTGCCCTGCCGAGGGCCTACATACTAATAAAGAATTGGAATTTGGGGCCTCGTCATTATCATGTAAAGAACAATGTAAAGAACAAAAGTATGATAATTCAAAATCTATTGACCGATATTTATCCAATTCAATCGTGTGGCATAATTAAAAGAAGTCACCATTCCTGTGAGACTCCATAAACCGCCATAGGAAACTTCAAAATATGTTCTCTAAGACCCCACTGCGAAAATACGGCGAAGTCTGAGAAATCTTTAAAAGACGGAAATATTGATAGCCTCAGGTGAGAATATAACACACAATCTTTCGCTTGCAGAGCGACTGCTCTGTCATTTTTTAGGTTGTAGACTTTGAACCAGTGTTTTGAGATACACCACCTTAAAACGTTAAAATTCTTATGAGTCTTATGCATCTTCTAATGCATTGTTCTAACATTAAATTCTGCTTTACCACATTGAATATGACACAAACATCTTCAAGGTTTGTAATTCCAAACACGATTCAAAACCTCAGATTTATTTTGCACAGTAAAAATAGATCGATGGCATATCGGAGTTGCTCTTTTTACGGCGAAGCTATTAGTTGAGGTGTAAAAATTGTTACAGCAGTCTTGGAAGTCGCAGCGTGTGTTAGAGGCGATATCTAAACGGATCACGTATATAGGCCAGACGTAGGGCTGCCACTTTTTAAAAAGTTTTAAAGCTGTATTCTAATTTAATGTACTGATTATTTTGTGGATAGGTCATGTAATTTTTAAGTTGACGTTAGACAGTCAAGTTTTGAACGTTATAGCTACGAGATCGATAGAGCCACATTCAACTTATGGACACAGGAAGACAATTTCACTACATATCTTTAGAACACGCGACACATCACATTTGTTTACTTAAGTCAATTAAAAATAAGTAAATTAAGTCTTAAACGATCGATCACGCATTACATTCAAATACCGTCCACGGACCCAGCTTGTAACTTTGTAACTTTTGTTGATACGACTATAACTTATAAGAAATCAAGATAAAATTGTTAGTGCGTTGAGTTGACCGAGTTTTTTGGAAGATAGTTTGTGAACTGGTTAAATATTATTCATATCTTTTACCCAATAAATTGAAATTTAATTTTTGGTAGCCCTACCAGTGCTCGTATTATTCTAACTGGCCATAAGAATCCGGTCAAGGCGTCCGAGCGTAAAGTCTGGAGCGATGGAAATATAACCCGTGGTCGGTATCAACGGTAGTAACCATCATTACATGGGAATCCGGTCAAGTTCACGTCTTCCTCCCGAAAATAAAGGGCCTCTGTAGTCGGTAAAACGGTATTAACTACGGATAAATCTGTCTCTTACGCTCACCTTGGGATGCTGATATGAGTGACAAGATCAGAAGATTGTTTGTTTTTTTTTTACTTTTTATGTAAATTTAGTGGAAAACATGATTGATGACAAATAATTTATTTATATTGGCACACTTGGAAACATTGATTATATTTAGCGTTCAGATGATTCAAGACAACAAAATCTTAATTCAGTTCAAGATGGAAGATACAAGACACAGAGAACTTTTTTTTTAATTTAAGGCATTTTGAATTTCAGAGAGAGCGCGGCGCTATCGGTTTACGCGTTGCTCTTTCCTATGTGATTTAAATTTTTAATTGTTGAAAGATTTTAGGTTGCTAACTATGTTTTCAATGTGGGTTGTAAATGTTGTTATGGAATCTTGCTTGGTTATATTTCAATTGGTAAGCAGTGAACCCAGAGCGTTTAATCGAGGGACTCGAACTCCCAAGCCACAAACTACAGATGCGTATTTCAAGTCCAACAAATCGATGATATTATAATGAGAATACCGCAGCCCACAGTTTACGGTCAATGGAAACCGCGCGCTATAACATTCGTTACAAGTTTGAACTGAAATATGCGAGACAGTTGCAGGCCTCGTTAACATTGAGCGGGTATGCCTGGGGTCTAATAAAGTAACCTCTTTATGATAGAAAGTTGGCTTAATTTATATTCGCAAATATCTATAGTGAAATGGGAATTTGATAAATCCGATAGATCTATGAGTCGATGATATTACGAGATAAGAAACTATCCCTAAACCTGAGACACTCGATCATAAGATTTTGTTTTAAAAATAGTACAAAAGCAAACTCTTTTAAGCTACAAAAAAATAAAGGAACGTTATTCTGTAATATTAACGTTAAACGTATTGAAATACAAAATGAGTCTACTTTGGATATTAGATAATTCAAAAGTGCCTGTCGTACATTTCTCTTTGACCTGGAAGTTTAACAACTGAATTTGAATTTGAGGTCATATCCCTCTAAAAATCGGACTTAAGGCTGAGATTTTATGTTGGCAATCGATCTTCAGATATTTTATTGTAAATTCAAAATTTATATTGCAAATTGACTCATAAAAAGCTCTTTTACACGTCCCAGTAATAAGTACTTAACCCTACTGCTTTGGGACAACAATGGGCCAGTGCTGAGAAGAAGCAGACAGTGGTGGGATTCGGATAAATAGTCTAAAAATTGGACTATGTATCCGAAACGAACTATAGACTGTAAACATGATTTAGGTATGAGAGAAAAAATTTTTTTTGCCTTCTATTAGTAGTACACTTATTTGCGTGTTGTGGCAGCCTTTAAATAAGGCAACACCACATAATGTTTGATGTATTAAGGTTATTATATTAGATAAGGTGTATGCGTTGTTGGATGTCCTTAAAATAAATAAATAAAGGAAGAAAAGACCTATTACACAACGTACCTCGGGAACTTAAACTGTCCATCCTCAGAGCCTTCCTCTCCAAACGATGAGAGCACGCGACCGTTAACGTCGAACACCTGGATCCTGTGGTTGTTGGAGTCCGACACCAGGACTCGGTTGGTGCTGGAGACGGCGATGTAGTGGGGATGTTCAAGCTGGCCCAGTTTCGAGCCGAAGCTGCCGAACTTGCCCACGAATGTGCCGTCTGATTGGAACACCTGGGGATGGGGGGTAACTTGAGAATTTGCTAGATTTTCTTTTCTTGCAATTTTGTACTTCTGTGTGCTTACCATGAGTTTACGTTAGGTGTGCTCGCTAGCGACTGCGTAAAAAAATGACATTTAATTGTATGACATATTGTGCAGCGCCCCTAGTGGCTACTTTCAAGAAACAAAATCTTCATAGAGATTTTTGACGTACTCGCTAGCGAGCACACCTAACGTAAACTCATGGTAGGTACACTGATCGAATGCTTAGTACTTAGACTTTAAACTACAGAATTTACAGGAAAGCATTCAACTAAAAGGTAGCCTAAAGAAGTGACTATTGCTCCAAAACTGCTATTAAATATGTCAATAGACATTGACATATTTAATAGCAATCTTTAAAAATTAATAACTATCCAATGTTTACCCTATTTTTATGTATATTTACATTTGTCTTAATATAAGTAGCTTTATTTAATACTAAGCATGTTGAGTACGCTGATTTTGGATCTCTATTTAGTTATTTAATATTTTGTTAATTTCATGGCTATGTAATTGACAGTTATCTGTTTGTGTACCTATTTTAAATAAATAAATAAATAATACAAGGAAACTATGTCATGGAAATCAAGTTATGGAAATGGAAATCATGCTCTTGAGCAATGGAAATCGTTTTGAAGAGGTAAAGGTGATTCTGTCTCACCTGTACTCTATGGTTTTCCTTGTCACACACGTAGATGAAGCCAAGCGCGTCCGTGGTGATGCCCCACGGGTAGTTGAACTTGCCGTCTCCAGTGCCCTGACTGCCGAATGCTCGGAGGAAACGGCCTTGAGGGTCGAAGACCTGGAGACAAAGGTACATGTCTGAAGTATGGATTTTTTAGGTAACATTATGATATGGGTAAGACAATGTTTGTAGAAGTTATTGTTGTGGAAGCAAGTGGTAAGATAGTTGATAACTGACATTATGGGATGTTATTCAAATTTATGTATGCGAGTCATTTCTACTAGTATCTTAATATGTAAGTCTAGATATTAGCACGTCACTACCTTGTTTAANCACAAGTGACTTTTCTCATATTTATACATTAAATACCAGGTACTCATAATATTGTCCTAAACATAAATAACTTTCATAGTAATACTCGAAACTTTCATAACCCTGCTTAAAATAAGAACAAAAATATGAGCAATTTGAACTTTGAAACGCTCTCCTGTAAAGTTGCTGTTTTTCACATACGACATTGTTAATAGTCATGGGCGATTTAATCGTGTGATGTGAAGTGTGTGAACAAAGGTACAAGTCAGAAATGAATCAGAAAGTATGGATTTTTTAGGTAACATTATGATATGGGTAAGATAATGTTTGTAGAAGTTATTGTTGTGGAAGCAAGTGGTAAGATAGTTGATAACTGACATTATGGGACGAATTTTTTTTTGTGGGACAGGAGGCAAACTTGATAGTAAGTGATTACCATAGACACCCGTAGTCTCAGGGGCGTTACAGGTGCCTTGCCGGCTTTTGCCATTGTTGAATTTGAGTACCACACAACATAAACACTTATAACGTACTATGCATTAAGATATCTGTTTGTATTGTTTTGGGTGTCATCAAAAAAATTCATAAATTATGAACAAGTTTAGATTTGGGGCTAGATCGACCATGTGTAATTTGTAAAGATTTTATTATTATAAATTTTACATTTAAAATTATGTGTAAGTCTTTGTTTGAAACTTCAAACTGTCTTGAATTGAAAATAAACTATTACCAAAATAGAAACTGAATAGCGCCATTTCTGGACACCATGGATCTAACTGCGATTGTCTCCAATTACATATTACACAAACATAGCTCCTAAAGCGGGACTCTGAAAGTCGCATTTCCAATGCAAAGTCTCCGATGCACCGATAGGTATTCTACGCACAATTTGTATGCAGACCACGTGTGGTGCACGCGTAGGTGACATCTCGTACGATATCGTTTAGCACACGGAGAATGCATACAGAACTAATATAAATACGATGTACGTTGCGATTCTTTGGTGCGATATGTATTTCAATTAAGGAAAAGAAAAACTTAATGTTGCTAGTTACAAAATTAAATCCTCGTGGTTAATATTCAAACATTCTTCATTTTTTACTACTTAGTACTTTTATACGAATTTATTTAGATAACTTATATTGAAACTGAATCTGATTATTTTCAAAGACGATTTGTGGCATGTAGTAAATGTTAACAGCATTTTCACCAACACTAGACTAGACTACATCTCACTTAACATCAGGTGCGATTGCGGTCAAATACCTGCCTTGTCCTGCATAAAAAAAACTGAAGTTCATTCGGATCTCAAATGTTTTTCAACCCTGAGGAAAGATTTGATTGTTTGTATTGAATAGGCTCCGAAACTACTGGACTGATTTGAAAAAGTCTTTCACCACTAGAATCTTACATTATTTCTGATACGCGGTACGAAGTTCGCCGGGTCAGCTAGTTTACGATAAAATAAAATCTATACGAATTGAAACTGCTTATTTAAACTATAATTTATTTAATCATTAAACTTGCATAAACCCAATAGCGGTGTGCCCAGAGATTTGGCGTAATAAGATTATGCTATCACAACATGGGATTGGATAGGTATGTTATTACAGCGCCTTCATAGCGCATTACCATGATAATGCGTCGTATAACCAATGATTAGTTCACTATGTATTGTATTTAACCGAGATAACATTGTTCGTTACCTCCATCAAATAATGTTTAGTTCGGAATAGACTTGGTTAAATCGTACTATCCTATCCTACTAATATTATAAAATGCGAAAGTTTGGATGTCTGGATGTTTGTTACTCTTTCACGCAAAAACTACTGAACGAATTTTGTTGAAACTTTACAGTATTATTGTGTATAACCCAGAATAACATATAGGCTATAATTTGTGAAGATCTGTGACAAACTAAATTTAACGCGGGTGAAGCCGCGGGCGGAAAGCTAGTTATAAATAAATATAGACACTGAAATAACATCGATATCGAAATTAATATCTTTGTCTCTTTAAAAAACAATATAACTTAGTTGCTTGTCGCTAATGAAGGAGAGATCAACCCTGTAATAACGTGTTAAAATCATAAACTCTAGAATAGGTACGAGTAATACACTTACGAGCAATTTACTATATAAATTACTTATTTCTATATATTATGAGAGATTTTTTAAATTTCGAAATATGATGTTAAAAAATGTTTTGCAAACGAAATAGATCAGAGGAAATTCAAAGCTAGTGCTTGCTTTATTTCAAGATGCAAGATACAATGCTGTACTCGTAGAATCTACTCGTAAATAAAAAGCATTCGGAAGAAATTGTATAAGTAATAGTAAAATGTACAGCTACTTTGAACTTTTGAGCTTAATGTCACCCTGCACTGAGAGAAAAAAATCTGTCCAAGCCAAGTTGTGTAAATGTTTGTGTTTTTATTTTTTATAAAGTTCCGAAATCCTTGCTCGTCAGTGTATGCGTGTGTACCCTAGCAAGTTATCTTAAGAATCAATGAAATATTAATAAGCTACTTAGTCTCTTGATAAATATATTCTTTATAGGGTTCATTATATGAGCTACTACTACTTCTTCAATTATTAATTTACTAACTGTGCCCCGTGGTGTTAACCGCGCTAAAACGTAGCCTTTGTGTTAATCCAGGGTGTCAGCTAACTCTATACATTTTTTTATTAAAATCGCTCTAGCCGTTTAGATGTGAAGAGGTAACAAATACACACTCACAAATTTTCGGCTTTATAATTTTAGTGTGATGTAATTCTAGATACTTACTATCCTGGTTGTGTGAAAATTCATTCATGTCACTCACTGACCGAAAAACCAAATATTATATTCTCTTGAAAATGCATCGGAGATCAAACTCGTTGCAGTGGTGGGGTTTAGCGATAGTGTTGTCGATGGATAATATCGATACACTTAGGCCCGATTCGACCAAACTCCTAGTATAACTGGCACATTGACAGTTTTAGTATGGGAAATAATTATGTCAAAATGTCGAATAACTGACGATGTATTCTGAGATTAATATTTACTCTTGTTTAGTCGAAACCACCCTTATACGACAATAAGTAATTACTCTATGTATAAGCTTTGTTACGTAAAGGCCAATATTTTAGTAAGTAGATATATGATTAACCATTTTACAACATTTAATTACAAAAAAAAGCTTAATGTCATTGATGTACTCGTAGTTAAGGAGAGAGAATATCAATTTACTTGGGTACCTACTCAAAGTTAAAACAGAAAAACGTTTATGGTTAAAAAAGTATTAATAAAGATGACGACTGCCTTCATAATTAGTGACAAAGTAACACAAAAATGGAACTTCTCTGATTTTTTATATCAGAATTTATCGATATTAATGGTGGACTATTCCCACCTCTCGTTCCTACCTCTGCAACTCCTGTGTAGCTAGGAACTACAGCTTGACCGCCAATAAAAAACCCAACCAGTGAAGGTTAATCAGAAGAACATTTATCGATATTTAGTTATAGGTATGTAAGCAGCACTATTTCTCAATTTTAAATTCGATCTTCACGTGCTGGACATGTTCCATCTCGTACCATCATATCTCTGTCGGGATCATATTTTATTTCTGTTTGACGTTTTAGTGCCAATGTCTCGCTGATCCTGCGATGGTTTTATTTGAAGACAAGCTTCTAATTTAAAATTTGAGGAAACTGGGATTGGTTTTCCAGTCTTTTGCGGAATATTGATATTTGTTATCTAAATAACAGAGATTTTATCACGTTGTAGTCACAACACACCCAGCTACACAATGGCTAATTGCGACTAACAGTCTAAAATTGATTTAGTGATATAGAATTATTAGGGCCCTATAGAGGTCTTTTTTATTATTGTTTTGCCCTGCCAGCTTAACTAGACGAACATTTTGGCAAGTGCTGAGAAGAAGCGAAGAAGAGTATGAGGTCCAATTAAATGTATTCATGTAGGTATACCAATCTGGTGTATTTTGAAAGATTTTCTCTTAGCTTGAGCGTGTTCATTTCTACTCAAGTATAAACTTTTTATATATATACTATATATATGTTCTAAGTAAGAAAATTAGCATGCTAAAGCTAAAAATCTCAATTCGAATCCGGGGGTTAGAAGCTAAATTACATCTAGCAGCGGACTGCAACTCTAGTATCACTATGACAGTGAACTAAATCGTTCGTTCGTTCGTTCGTTTCAGCCAAATGCTCCCCCAAGGTTTTCCATGATGAACGGTCCTGCGCTGCCCGCATCCAGGCTCTTCCCGCGACCTTTACCAGATCGTCGGTCCCTAGTAGGAGGCCTGCACACGTCTTCCAGCCCGTGGTCGCCACTCGAGAACTTTCCTGCCCCAGCGGCCATCGTCTCTACGAGCTATGTGCCCCGCCCACTGCCACTTGATTTTAGCAGTTCTGCGAGCCATGTCAAAGTTAGCTTATTGTTCTCACCTGGATGCGATGATTGTATCTGTCCGCGATGATGTACTGCCCAATGCGGTTGACGGCGACGCCGGCGAGGCAGTCGAACTCTCCTTCGCCGCTGCCGTACTGTCCGAACTCCTTCACGAAGATGCCGTTTGAGTCGAACACCTGTTGAGAATACTTCTTTGAGTATTTTCTATCAGAAAACACTTCTTTAAATACTATTTTTCGAAGTTTTGTTGCGGATTTAAAAGCAGATAGAGGTCCTTGAGAGTAATTACTGGCTGATTTTGGCAGACTAGGTCTTAGTAAACCCTACTATACTGTAGTTCTAAGACATTACTTCTGGAAAAGACGTTAATTAAATTTCCGACAACCCAAATTATTTTTATTAATTTTTAATGAATAGCAATTACATTTTGCTACTAATGTTTTTCCTTTGATATCAACAAAATATTAAGTCAACTGATTAAGCAAAAAAGTGACGTCTTGACTATACAATAACAACGGGAGAGCCTTATTATTTATTTATTTTTCATATCAGGAGAGGTGAAAACAAGAGTTAGATTAGTCCCGTTGAAAACTTTAAAGTTTATAATGATTTACATAGCACTGTCTATTAATCTTCAGACTTTATCGTAAAGTTTTGGCAAGGAAAATTGTTTTGACATGAGACTTAACGAAATACTATCTGCCTCGTGAATGAGATCCTTGATTAAAGCCAAATTGCGAGCTTCCATTAAAGATAGTTTAATCTTTTGACTGAATGTCAAATTTCTTAACCATCTGCAGACGCTGCGATTTAAATAATTGAGATTGCTCTGCCAAAGGAGTTCGCAAATACATTTTGTATTTTAGTTCATTTTAAACCTCAAAGTAATATAAATATTTAAATCTTAATTGTACGTCTACTCGTACGTTTAATTAAACTAGTTATCTTATTTGTTGGTGGATGTTACATTGCTTTACATGAACGTGGTGATTTTTATTATTTTATTACGTACGAGAAGCTCATTTAGTAGAGTACTTAAATTGTATTTAAACATAGAAATGTGTGGTTTTTTACCTGCACTCGATGATTTGAAGAATCAGCCACGACCATAGTATTGTCGGGGCCAACAGCGATGCCACGAGGCCAAGTAAAACAACCGGGTTCGCTCCCCCGGCTCCCCACGCTGAATTGTAAACGGCGTTTCTGCAGATACTGGCTCCTAGGGGAGGAACCTGCTGCTGCGAAACCTAAAGTAAAAACAAATTATTAGCACACATTCAAATAAAAGGGATAAGTTCCATTTTCCAAGCGCCAAACCTATGTACACGCCACGCTATGTCTAACCTGCTACCGCTGCTGTAGCCGCCGTAGGGGAGATGGGGGAGCCTGCCGCGTTTTTTGAATCGTCATCAGAACTGGCAAGCTCGTTAGCCGAACGTAATGGCAGCCCGAGAGACAGGCGACGGGACGTGCTCGACGTTCCGCTCGACGTGTCACGGTCTTTGCCCCGCGATCCGTACTTGTTTTTCAAATACCTCGCCCAGGAGCTCAAGGCTGCGCCGTCTTTCTCGCCCGTGACCGTCCGCTCGGGCGAGTTCTCTCTAGACTTCAAAGCGTGCGAGGACCGGCTGCGAGACAACTCCGAACCACCAGTGCCGGAGCCGTATCGAGCCGCGAGGTACGCAGAGGGCGACGCTGTCGTCGGAGATACGGGATCGTCTTGATCGTCATCATCTCCCACACCGAAGCCGGTGTGGCTGCTCTTGCTTCTAGCGAGACGGTTACGACGTTCTTTCAAGGCGAGGTACCTAGACCGAGCAGTCGGATACTTAGATTCATCGTCCAACGAGGACTGTGGTTCGAGTTCTTCTTTCGGCTTACTACCGTAACGGTTACCGTACGAGGAGCTAGTGCTGTAGCGGGACGGGGGTTCTTCCTCGGTCTGTGAACTTTGTCGGGTACGGTATCGTGACTGAGTAGGAGTTTCTTTGGTTGGTTTGGTTTCGTGGGCGTCGTTACGGGCGTTAGTGCTGCGAGCTAAGAGCGGACCTATATCGCTGCGAGCCATCGCCTGGCTCTCGGGCTTTCTTTGCGTTGCAGGCTCCTCTTCACTCTCCTCCGACGAGTCAGTCTCTTCTTCAGAGCTGGTGTCTGAGTCTTCGTGAGCCGGCTCGGCGGGCGCCGGAGCGGGCGTCGGCCGCTGGGACCCAACAAAACGGCTTTGAACGCGCTGTGCCCCGCCGGCTGTTCCGTTCGTTGTCACGGGTGTTGTTCTCTCGTTGCCTGCGGAAAGAAAACGAATGCCTGGTTTTGGTGGGAGCCCAACGGTACTATATTTGGCTTTAAGTTCTGCGATGGATAGTATCGCACCTGTGTGTTTAACCGCCGAGCCGGAGCTTTCTGTAGACGCGCTTGATTCGGTGCTAGGAGCACGGGCGGCCGGGCGATGAGGTGCCGGAGTCTCAGTAGCTGAGGGCCGTCTAGCTGTTACGGTTGGTTTGGGAACTGGCGCGGCAGCCTTACGTTGCTGCGTTCGTTGCAAAGATCCAACAGATTCATCGGATTCACCGTCGCTGGACGCCTGAGAAATATATTGAAATTCGATATGGACACCAAAACTGTAGATACATTTGTTCGTGTTGTGTAATGTGTGTAAATTGGTTAATCGTGGAGTGTATATACGGAATGAAATTCCCTTGTTAGTAACGATGATTTGCCTAAGCTCTACGTTGTACTATCAATCGTCAGGTACTTCAATCTCTTTCTTCTTCCACACTCACCTCCCGAGCTGGTGTCGGTGGTTTACGAGTTATAGAGTTCCTCTCTTCTTCTGCGGCGCGTTGAGGAGCTCTGTCAGGCTCCTGCGATGATGCAGCACCTTTGTTTTGTCTTTTGAGTCGTGAGATTTCATCGTCCTCACTTTGCTGACGCGCTGGTGCTGGCGGTCGACGTACTTGCGGTGCTGGTTGAACCGGTTTCGGTGGAGGCGGTGGCTCCTTTTTTTCCTTCTTTTTTCCACTGTCTACATCCATAATCCTTTGCATGACTCGAGGACAGTCACTGAGTCTAAATATACCACTGAGTGGACCGCGAGTTGCGTCTTCAGTATCGGTGACCTTCTCTTTTTCTTTTTGAAGCTGTTCAGCTTTGACAGCAGCCGCACGGGTACTAGATTCCGTGTCCGAGTCGTTGTCTTGTTGGTGACTCCTAACAAATCGGGAACGGAATCTGCGGGATGGTCTATGCTCTGACTCATAACCACTGTAATCGTCAGTCGTACCATATGTATCTCTTGTGTGCTTTTCTGGAGGAGGTGGTCTTCGTTCACCAAACTTCCTACCTCCCAAAATAGGTTCATCATTTTCTGTATAACCTTTGTTTTCTTCTTGCTGGCGGAATTGAGTCGCCAAGCGATGATCACTCTTAGATCTCGTTAGTCCTTGGCTCTGTTGCATTCCACCAGAATAAGCATTTGGTTGAGTGATATTCAGTTCACCATAGCTTGCAACATGCATCACCAACTGGTTAGGATCATGAGTCATAATAAATCGTATTCTACGATTATAATCACCAGCTTCATAATCGAAGTTTCTGAGAAATTCAACTGTCTTGAGGAAGATCTCTTTGGTGTCCACTAACTCAGTGTCCTCCCATTCTACGTCGTCGTTCATGTATTTATCGGCGAGATCACAATTACTTTGTATATTACTTAATTCTAACTCTAAGTTATCTTTAAGATGAGTGAGGTTTCTCAGTTCAGTTGCTAAGTAACGGTCGACCTCGTTCCTTAGGAAGTCAGTTCTATCTTTCAATGCCTTTGAAAGTCTTTTGTGGATTTCATCTATTTCTCCACCAACTGCTCCGCAGTTTGTTTGAAGATTCGTCGTGTTGCGTTCAACTATTGCTAAAATATCTTGAAGCCTATTAACACCGCGTCGAATTTGATTGTTGATCCTTGAAATTTCCCGACGAAGTACTTCCATGTGTGCAGACTTGCAGTCTTCGCAGACTTTCTTGTCGCAATGAGCACATGGTGCGCAGTAAGCCTTTTCGGAGCAAACGTTGCATCTTTCCATGACCTGTCCAGCAGTGGGATCTGGAAGTTCCCCTGCTATTTGAGCGTGCAGTTCCAGGAACCGTTGAAGAGTTACATTTGTTGGGAACCCTTGTACTCCTTGGTACGGGATTCGGTGTTCTGCACGGCATTCTGGACATTTGACCTGGAACGAAAATATAAATCAGCAAAACAGAAAAAGATTAAAGAAAACTTAATTTAAATATAGACAGAAATGTTGTTACCTGTCGTCTGACGTAGTCGACAAGCCCGTCCATGCAAGGTTCCATACAAAAACTGTGCTGACATGGCAGCAGTTTTGGGTTCCTGTACCGGTCGAGGCAAACGCAGCACGTCAACAGCGATTCAAACTGCTCCATTTTGGCTTTTTCGCTGCTTTACGTATCTGTCAAAGAAAACTAAACATTAGAAGGTCACATAAGGAGTACATAAACAAACAACTCTATCGAGGGAGATGTTTAGTAAATTATAGAAAATTACATGCAGGAAATATGACTGTCTTCAAAACTTTCTAATAGACTATAACAGTTTCGACACTTTCACTCAGTTCCAAAGCCCGAAGCTGCCATAAATTCAAACACAACTTCGTCTATATAAATGCTTTTGTCAAAACTTCACCTTTTAAAGTCTGCAAGTTTTTATGTACAAAATAAACGCCAGTCATTACGGAATATGGGTACCGAAGAAAATTCCCGCGGGGAAATTGTATTGAATGAGCGAAACTTGCTTCAAATTACCATCAGAAAGAATGATGGCCTTCAAAATTGAGGCGAGCTTTGTTTACTTTCACCGCGGAAGTCGCTTTTGGTTCGACTGAAGTCTGGGGCGAGTTAAATTTGGTATTCGAGGTGTATCCAAGGATCCGGCAGATTTTATAAATAGAACAGTCTGCCATTTCACACGGCTTCTATACGAATCTCTAGTAAGCATTCAGCTCTGCAGTAGCAGATTCGCTGTCAAACGATTTTCAACCGTATTGATTGTGAAACAAGGTTTTTTCAGCCACGCCTTGGCTTCCGTTGAAACAATGAAATAGGGTGGTGATATTTTAGGAGCCCGATGTGACACTTCGTGATGGAGTAGTAATTACTTTTTGTTACGTGCCGATATTCTGTTTGTTACGAGTTTTCTATTGAGTCATTTGGTTGCGTCACTGGAAGGAGAGTTGGCAAAATTTATTATTCAGTTATGAACTCGTACGCTACGAAGTTTAGTTCACTATGGTTCATGTTCAAGTAAATAAGATGAAGTCTCTGCAGTTTAGTTTGTTCAGCTTGAAAATTTAATCCCTGATGAGGTTTTGGTTGGTGGAGAGTTTCTAATTTGTTGAACGTAATTTAACAGCATAACACTAGTAGTTGAAACGAATAGCCAGTGAAAATGCACGTTAATCTCGTTTTGCAAGTTTATTTATACACCTCTAATGGATCCTTGGCATGGTAAGATTGAGTGAGTGAGTGCAGAATAATAATATATTATTTACCCGCTTTTGAAATTAATTAGTTAAATAGTAAATAGGCATGTGATTTGAAATATTGTATTTTATTTAGCCCTAGCTTTAATATAATAATAAAAAACAATAACTACTCGTATAAAACAAATGAAAAAATTTTTCAATTGTTCTCATATCTTATACCTACTCGTATCTCTTGAAACGATGTTATTGCAGAAACCTCTATCTTTAGAAAATTAGCATTTATTCCCATAATAGAACATCGTTATTATTTCATCACGAAAGCAATTTTGTCTTTGTTATTCTTTATCCTCGGCGTGACAACTTTGTTTTAAGGCTCCGTTAACATTTACGTCATAGATATTTTGTCAAAATGGTATACACAGGCTGAGTTGCACCACCTAATTTTGACCGAAACTTTAACGATAACCGGTGATTTTTGTATGGAGTTTGACAGATTTTTACGTTTGTCAAAGTTAAAAAAGATGGTGCAACCCAACCTTAGTCATGAATTAAAGTTGTTTAAAAGATTTTAGCTCTATTTCAGGAAATTGAAGTTTAAATTGATTATGAACAACAAAAGCTATTGTGGAAATAGTATGTCAGAATGTTGTAAGTCGACTTGTTGGTGACTGCACTTTAAATAATTTGGAATTTGGTTCTAATTACTATTTTTCCTATTCTTCCTAGCTCACTAACTTGTAACTAGCTAAAATAATAACAAAGTACGTAGTCAAGGTTGATTTTGATATTCTAAAACTGTCCCGGCATTTTAGTTCCGTATTCTATTCTAGACAAACTAAAACTCATAGCTTCCATCGCGGAAGCTCGATTTAGTACTGCGTTGATTGTTTATCAAACCACCCACGTGTAAATACAGTCGCAATGGTTATTTTTAAAAATATTGGCCGTCAAATTTTTTGCCGTACAGCGTTTCAATCTGGTTTCAATCATACTTTTACGTTTTTGGCGACTGTCAGGCATTTTTTAGTTAGAACTCTTTTTATTGAGTCACGCCCGCTTTTAGTTGATGTTCTGGTAAGTAATTAGTGACAATAGACATGTCATGTCAGAATAGAGTAGTTGTCACCACCATCAATGATGTGGGTACTTTTTGTTGAAGTTGTGACTTGAAATTCAAATGTTTTATTCTGTAAGCATATGAAATACTAGTTTTTAATTGTGGATATCTATGTATTAATTTAAAACAGAAGAGTTTTTCATTAAAATGTGTTTAAATTAATGAATAAATTAATAATAGGTAATCATCGATCAAAATCTCTATTATCTATCTGTATATTCTTATTATCTTGTATCTAATCTGTATATTCTTAATCTTGCGAGTTTGCAAGTAAAATATAGTCTTCGCTCTGTAGAGAGTTGATAATGACGTCAATGACGTACGAACATAATGATGTAAACAATTTTAAAATAGCCAGCGTACTTGTGGTCACGTTTATAAACAATAATGTTATGGTATTCCAGCATGTACGGGTGGTAAAGAAAGTTTTAATGAAATCAATTCTCTTAAAACAATCTTCAGTAATGAACCTACAATTATGTATATTGTTCGTTCGTTCGTTTTCGCCAAATGACGTCCACTGCTGGCCAAAGGCCTCCCCCAAGGTTTTCCATAATGAACGGTCCTGCGCTGCCCACATCCAGGCTCTTCCCGCGACCTTTACCAGATCGTCGGTCCACTTAGTAGGAGGCCTGCCCATGCTATGTCTTCCAGCCTGTGGTCGCCACTCGAGAACTTTCCTGCCCCAACGGCCAATTATATTATAGGGTAAGGTGGGGCACAATGTTACACGGGGTACAATGTTACAATGCATATTTCTCCGTCCCTTTCTATTAGTTGTATGATGTTGGTATACACGTTTGTCAAGCTCATAAGAGCTGCTGAACTGAGCCATTGAACATCATACAACTATAGAAAGGGACGGAGAAATATGCATTGTAACATTGTACCCCGTGTAACATTGTGCCCCACCTTACCCTATAATATAATTGGCCGTTGGGGCAGGAAAGTTCTCGAGTGGCGACCACAGGCTGGAAGACGTACTTCCTGTGAACTCAGAATCTTGAAATTCGGCACGAAGCAACGTTATATAGTACAGATAAAGGAAAAATTGCGAAAATGATAAATTTGAAGTTATATAAAATTTAAAATATTATTTTTGCTTACATGACATAAAATATTTTTTTAATAATTATAAACTTACTACCTACCCTTTTTCACATGAACGCGTAGAGATATTAAAGTTGAAATTCATATCAAACACTTCTTAAATCTAATTGCCTCTAAACTGTGAGAAATTCTAAATCAACGCAAAAATTCAAAACGCTGAGGTAGGTACCTACCTATAATGCAAATATAGGAAAAATAAATAAATAAAAAATAATCATACTGCATATTTTTTTTTATAAAACTCCGGACTTTGACGTAATTTTGGTTTAAGTGAAATGAATGGTGTCCATTGGCATAGCTACAGGTTTTACCTTAGAATACTTGTTTTATATTTGTAGGTAGTTACCCTGCCTAAAAAAAACCCTAGCTACGCCAAAGCTAGCGTTATTTGATAATAGTACGAGAGCCCACGANACTGAGCCGTTGAACATCATACAACTATAGAAAGGGACGGAGAAATATGCATTGTAACATTGTACCCCGTGTAACATTGTGCCCCACCTTACCCTATTGATGTCATGGGAATACTACGTCGATGGGCGTAAATGTTGATTTAAACAAATATGTCGAAATAAATCCTACAAACAATTCTGATAAAAAATATCATAAAATTTTTATTCGATGATTCGATAACATCCAGTCACATTCTGTTTAACTTTTCCCTTTATTTTTGGTCATGACTGTATCCACTTTAATCGTATTCTAGGAAAAGGTTACGAAACCCAGGAAACCGACCGCACCGCTGGGACAAATGCCAGCTATTGAGAAGGGAGATGCGAACGATACAGATAACCGCTTTAATTATGTTATGACTGGTGGCGTTTGGAACATTTTGGATTGCATGATAATAGATGTATATTACAATGGCAAGAAAAAATTAACTTAGATTTATACAAGTTTTTGTATCTAAGTTATTAAAGACCATCAAAGAACTAAACTTTGTAAAAACGTCACAAAACTAGTACCTAGCCTTTTATAACAACTGTTGAATAGCTTCTAATTCTTCTAAAATGTCGTAAGCCTGTGCTGTTAGATCTGGTATTTCTTCTATCTTTTTATAATGTATTGTACAATAAAGTAAATTCTCATTTTATTCATTTTTTCTTGAATGTAAACACATTCTAATTGATTGGAGTTGAAATGCAGGAGCAATTGGTTAAATATATCTTGTAAAACCCGAGCTGTAATACTTAGTTTTGCTCTGAATTCTGAACATCGAATCACTAACAGATTTTCCACGTGAATTGAGCACATCTGTGTTTCGCTGAAGTAAAAAGTATTCATAAAACTCCTCAGACAAATTTAGACTGATACTACATAGGTACTTAATAAACCGACTCATGAAACTTTCGATGAACGATAAAACATAAATCGCAATCAGAAAATTTCCAACCTTGGTTAGATTAAAATCAAATGAGCTTGACTCAGATTTTTGTTTTTCACGACTTTGTTTTGAAGATTAAATTTTTTTCATCCTCTTTATTATTATTGAATAAATATTGTTTCCGGGTGATATTTATTAAATAAGGAAAACATCTATAAGAAAATAGTACAGCAAAAGCTGTGATTATAATCATGTTGACTTAACGAAACCTAGTAACTGTTCGTTAAGTCAACATGACGATAACTTATATTTACGAGTACCTACTATGATTTGATTAATTTAGTCCCCACTGCAGCACGACTACAAATCTCTAATTTACCAGAAGCAAATGGAGAATTTAGTCTACACTTTTCACATTAAAAAATGAGTACGTCTCTAACTTCCGGATGTTTGATCCCTTAGCTGCTTTTCACTACATCCACAGTAAGAGTTGGAGTCGTCTCATTCTCTAAAAACACACTGGCAATATTGTCTAGGGTATATAAATGAGCTGCTGCATAAACAATACCTAGTTAATGTACAGATAACAATTTAATTGGCACTAAAACATTTTTCAGCTGTATTTGTTCGAAGGCGAGTTTCCATGTATGACGTAGCGGCGGCATCACGCGGTTCAACAAAGACGGTATTTTCGCCAGTGACTTAATCGCCGAACGCTTTCACGGACAAAGACCTACTTCTGTTTGAAACTCCAAATTTGCAAATCATGGTATTCGTTCTGATATTACATGAGATAAATTTCGCAATGTTAGAAAAAAATGTGCTACGAGTAGAGTAAAACTGTGTGATAGGAAAATGGTGGGTAAAGAAATCATTTTTCGTAACGAATGGTGCGCTTCTTTTTTGGTATATTAAGTTTTAGATTACAAAGAAATAAGGGAAAATTGATAATAGTATTTAAATACATAATGACAATGGTAGACATAATAATTTATGATGCTGATGTAAATCAAGCTTAAGTATAATATTTGTAGTTAGTAGGTGTAAAGGCAGAAAAGTGAGTTATAATTTAATATAAAAGTTGGTTGTGAAGAAGATTAGATAGATAAAGTAAATAGAAATATAAAAACATAAAAAAAATTTGGAGAAAATTAAGTATTAATATAAATTTTCATTTGAAGACAACTATAGTCATCATTTCCAGAGATATTTATGTTAAGAAAACTCAGAAAGGGGATTTTAGGAATTTACAAATTTAAAGTGCACGCGGTAATATTTCATTGTTTCAAAATAATACGCAATTCAAAGCGTGTTGTGTGTTAAATTAAAAACAAAGCAGATACTTACAGCCTTAATTATTGGTACATCAAAAAATTACAAACACTGGTAATCCAATTCACACAAGCGGGATTAGCGTTACAGTTTTGGGGGTGAAAATATCGGGTGCTCAGGTCACTAGTGTATTACTTGACATTATTGCAGCAGCGGCTGTGGCACTTGTAACTGACTAGTATTTATCACAGGCTAGTACGCTCGCGGGAGCTCGGGGGATACTGAAAGGAATACGATACCGGCGAGCGGGAACTTATTTCGGGAACGGTCGGCGCGAGCGCACGTTGTAGAATCTCTCCGTCACAGTTTACTTTTGGACGTGAAAAGGTCATTGGACACGTATTAAGATATTGTTTTTGATTACAAGGTGCGCTTTGTCTCGGTTTCCCTCAATGTCATCGTTTTGCTAGATTTTTGATGTTCTTTGAATTTGAGGTTGATGTCTTGTCATGTAGAGGGCACATTTCGCAAACTTTTGCAATATTTATGTCAATTTGTTTTTCGTTATTTTCATATTCATTTTTGTCATTTATTTCATCGCATCTTATAGCCACATTAATGCTAATCCCAGTAAAAACATTTGCGTCTTTCGAAGTATCCGAAATACATCGACTATTTTCTTCACGGGATATTTACAGCTTTGCTTTCTAAATTCTCAATGAAAGCGTATGAACTAGAATGTGTTGCTATTTCCTTGGAAAATGCGCGAACATTACTCGTGTTTGTGATAAATGGACATGCTAAACGTCGTTTTGATTTAATTTTATCCTCTTCATTCAAGCAAAGTACGTTTACGTGTACACGTTTTACTCTATTTTGAGAAACAATGCTTTTGTTGTGTTACTGAAATTTATTTGTTTGCATAAATCTCTACAGTTGAAGTTTTATTGATTAATATTTACTGTTCCTTGGTTTTTTTTAATAGCTTTAGAATAATAATAATTTGTTCATTGTTAGCGATAATTTTTCTCGTTGTTAAAATACAATATTTTACGGNTTTTACGGTTGCTGATTATTTTTATTGCTGAAATGGCTAAATATATTAGCGCAAGAAGACGCATTGTGTTCGCGAAAATGTAATTTTGGAAAATAAATTCATGTAGGTATCCCCAATTTTTGTAGGTGTTTTTACGATTTTCATTAAAATGATGACACTGCGTATGATTTACACAACTTTTATATCCCCTAAGTTCTGTTTTTTAGGGTTCCGTACCTCAAAAGGAAAAAACGGAACCCTTATAGGATCACTTTGTTGTCCGTCAGTCCTTCTGTCAAGACCCTTTATCTCAAGAACGCGTGAACGTATCAAGCTGAAATTCACATGAAATACTCAGGTCTATTGTCCCTTTAAGCTGTACATTAAATTACATTTTTNTTTTACGGATTATTTTTATTGCTGAAATGGCAAAACATATTAGCGCAAGAAGACGCATTAAGTTCGCGAAAATGTAATTTAGGAAAATAAATTCATGTATCCCCAATTTTTGTAGGCGTTGTTTTTACGTTTTCCATTAAAATTATGACACTGCGTGTGATTTACACAACTTGTATATCCCTAAGTTCTGTTATTTTTTGTCCTAACATTTCGTACACGTGAAAATAGTTTGAATATTATTTCCCATTTTTGTAGCACTTTTCTTTATTGCTCTGCCTCTATTAGCAGTAGGGTGATGTTATGTAGCCTGAAGCTTTCTTCGATAAAATGGGCTATCCAATACTAGGTAAATATTTTTTCAAATTGGACCAAGGTAAATAGACTTGTTCCTGAGATTAGCGCGTTCAAGCAAACAACAAACTCTTCGTCTTTATAATATTACTAGCTGACCCGGCGAACTTCGTACCGCCTTAGCGTAGAGATTTTCTTAATATTTTTTTCCGTAAGAACCATCCTTGGACTTCCACAAACATTTAAAAAAAAGAATTATCGAAATCGGTTCAGCCGTTCACACGTGATGCCGTGACAACGCGAAACGGGTTTCATTTTTATATATATAGATTATAGATTTCTTCCACACGTTCAATTTAATGTTTCCTGTTGTAATACATTCTTGTGAGGTTTATTTGTCGCAGCGAAATTGTATTGCGCATCGCTTTTTTTACTCTCGTAAACAATATTGTCGTAGATAATTGAAAAAAAAACGTAGCTTAAGTACGGGTTACAAATGTAAGTGTAGTGAGCACGATAATTCATTTATCTAGAACTGTTTAAATATCAACACGCATGCATGGCTAAACTTATTTCGTTCACTATTTTATTTTCAGACTCACTTCTGATGCTTCAAAGTCCCGTAAGGTCATAACTTTCTCTCTAACATTCTACTTGGACATTTTGTTTACGAAATCAGATAACCTTATTCTTATTTACATCATAAACTACGCCTAATCTATAACGCCACTATTTACTATAATGGGCGTACGAGCTACGAATACTTACCAAACATTAAATACCCGTCTTAGAGCCAAAACACACGATGCGTTGCGGCGCGGTTGAAGATTTTGTTGTATTTCGCGACGCAGCGCCGCACTGCTTGTGTGCTCGACACAGATTTCTATGTATGACCAATGATAAGACCAATGACAGAGTAAATACAAATGAGTAGGTCATCTTCATAGAAACGCACCGAACGCGGTTTGTATGTGAGCGCGTCAATATACGTATGCGGCGCGCACTTACATATTGACAAAATTCGGCGCAACCACGACTGGCTCCCCGATAATCCACGCTTAACTTTGTCAGTGTGTGCGTGCGCGCCGCATACGTATTGGTGCGCTCATATACAAACCGCGCCCGGTGCGGTTTCTATGAAGATAACCTACTCATTTGTATTTACTCTGCCAATGACGACGAAGTGACACCGCTCCGGCGTCGCATCGCCGCCGCAACGCATGGTGTGATTTGGCTCTTATACTTTTGATCTATAAATACATTATACATCTGTCCTTTCGATACAGATGCTAATGATTTGGATATAAATAGCATTATAGGCTGCCAAATCATAGATTGGCATGTACAGGAAGTTCAGTACAACTGCGAAATGCGTCTTTATATGTTAGACGATAAGGACTAGGTGCTGATGTATTGGTGATCTTTGAAGTCTGACTCTTCAGTTATTTAGGGTGATAGAAAAGAAAGTAAAAGTTACGGAAGCAAAGGTGAAAGCACGTGAAGATAGCGGCTATTACATGTACATAAGGTACTTTATTTTGAAAATAAAGTACCTTATTTGAAAAATACCTTATTGAGTACCGAATCTGCGACCTATCTGTTTTGCAAATCTGCATAACTTTTGCAACCATATTGCAATCTTAAAAGGTCGAATAGATACCTATGCTAACCTTCATCTTCATTGATGATCTGTTGATAAAGAGTACGGATATAAGTTAGTCATGATGACGGTTGCCAAGATGATTATGACCAGTTTCATGCTAAAAAGACTAATTTAGTTGAAACTACCATTGACGTACATATAAATGTATGACTAATTTTATAATGACAAGAAAATTATTTTTTAGTTGTGCAATTGTATGTTGAAATCTCTACAGTCTACAACTTTTTTTAACATTTTACAAATAATGCTAAAACTGTAAACAGCATTTTTCTCATTTATAAATTTATGTTTCTAAATGATACCACAGATGATACCAAAAACGCGCGTCATGTTCCTATTTATAAATATAAATTTTTGAGTGGTGTATTATAGATTAAGAGCTAGTGAACGCCAGACCTACGTCATTTTATAAAAGCTGAAAGTTTATCAGCGTATGCCTCCCAAAGCCACCATGACCCAAACTTCATACTTCACCAACATTATATCCTATATTGGGAGCATTCGCTGACAAACTTTCAGCTAAACATTAGCTCTTTCTACTAAAACAACTGGACGATTTTGACTTACTTTACAATGTTATACATAGGCTGCATTCTTAGGCTGGGTTGCAGCATCTTACTTTAATTTTGACAAACGTCAAAAATCTGTCAAACTCCATACAAAAACACCGTTATAGTTACGGTCAAAGTTAGGTGGTGCAACTCAACTATGCACTTTATCAAAATTAACTCCGACGAAGTCGCAAGCAAAAACTAGTATTGAATTTCCTAATTCAGTTACGATATCCAATCGTTAGAAATAGCATCATCTTGACCGTTTAACTTTGGGTAGGAGGTGTTTATACCGAGTCAGTGCTATATTAAGGTTTTGACGCAAGCAAACCGTTTTAATTTCGCTAAAAGAAAACTGGGCGTAATCGGTGACGTAGATTTTGAATGGAAATATTTGATAAGACTTTGCCAGCGGTTTTGTTTTCGTCACTTTCGTATATAGCTAATGACGTCTTAAGGCCCGTTATTACAAACCTTTGCTCAAAGCTAGACTCAATTTACTCCCACTAGGTGGTCCTATGATCTGGTGAAAATCCTTGGGGGATGCCTTTGTCCAGTAGTGAACATCATTAGGCTGAAACGAACTAGACTCAATTACAAACGTCGAAATGACCTCTTTCAGTGATCTGGAACTCCAAATATTGAAATCCAACCAATAATAAGCCTCAATCGACATTTAGTATAATATTGAGATTAGATCTTTAAAATACTGCTTCCAGAATAATTAAAAAAATACTATGTTTAATGACGTAAAACATTATTCTTTGTAGATTTATTAATAAGTACCTAATTCCCCAAATTGAATTTCCTAAGAAGTCGGTTAAAAATAGAGAGAACAATAAAACGTACGATTTCTAAAAGCAGTTAGGTACATACTTGAAATGGAAATACAATAATTACAAGATACATATCAACAAGTCAAAGCTTATTCAAGTCGCAAGCACAGCTTAAAAGCACTGTTGACTTTATTTAGTAAAATATACAATTAGCATTTCGGTTTAGAGCGAGTGATTTAATTAATCCTTGTGTTTAAAACAGCGTTTAGTCCAGAATTTCCAGAGACCCCTTTTAACAAATCCAGATTAGTGTATTGGGACTGTGACGTCACGGGATGTGTGTGGGCGGACCAGAGCTAGTCGTTTTAGATTGCTGAAAGTCAAACGTTTTTGCTTTAGATTTTAAAGGTTAGAAAGATTTTTGCTATTTTCTGTTACTTGATCCACGTATTTTTGTGCCGTTTCTAATCAAACGATGCAGAAGCTGGGGTTTATTAAAAAAAAGTTTATTAAGTTCAATTTTCTTTCAGCTTTTTTAAAAAATGCGTCATTAGCAGCATTGAAGAATGGTAGAGTA